AACTCAGGTCTGCTCATCTAGCCAACTTCCCTTGCATGTGTTTTCCAGGGAAAGCACTAAAGTTATCATGGTTTGGATGGATATTAGTTATCTATTGCTGTGTAGCAAATTATCTCAAAACTTAGCAGCTCTGAAGAACAAAAACTTAATATCGCATACAGTTTCTGAGAGTAGGTTCTCTGGGACAGGCTCAGCTGGGTGGTTCTAGCTCGGGGTCTCTCTTGAGGTTGTTGTCCAGCTCTCAGCTATGCCTACAGTCATATCCAGGCTCAAAGGGAGCTAGAGAATCCACTTCTAAACTCACTCATTTGGTTTTGACAGGCCTCCATTCTTCATGGCTATTGGTCAGAGACCTGCATTCCTTGACACACAGACTCCTCCATAGCCTGCTTGAACAGCCTCGTTTCATGGCATCTGGCTTCCCACAGAAGAAGTGATTCAAGAGGGAGAGAAACGTGAGCAGGTAAGTGAAATAGTGCCCCCAAAGGAAGCAGGACTTGTATCTAGAATATATTAAGATCTTTTACAACTACATAGTAAGAAGATAAGGTGTCCAATTAAAAATGGGAAAAATAGTGGAACAGGAACTTCATGAAAGAATATAAACAAATGGCCAATAAGCATATGAGAGGATATTCAATTATCAGTAGTTATTAGGGAGATAAAAATTAAAACTCACAATTAGAATCTGCTACAGTATCATAAGAATGGCCAAAATTATAAAGGCTGAAAATACCAAACATTGTCAGGGTTGTGTGCAGCAAGTTAAATGATCTGACATTTATGCTGGGAGTGTAAAATGGCAGAGCCATTTGTAAACTGGCAGAGTCAGTTTAGTCATAACAGACATTTACCATACAACTTTTAGCTATTTATCCAAGAGAAATGGCTTCAACTGTTCCCAGAAATATTTATACATGAATGTTCATAAGAGTGTCATGCATAATAACCAAAACTGAAAGTAATGCATCTGTCTGTCCAACAGATTTTAGTATGCAGTGGAATACTACTTAACCCCTCCTCTACAATCCTTGAGAATTAATACTCAATTAATATCCAATTAGTTTCCCAGATAACTATATAATGATATTTGCAACAATATAAATAAATCTCCCAAACAAGATGCTGAGTGAAAGGAGCTAGATAAAAAAGAGTACATAGCATATATCTATCGAAAAATGAATTCACAGTGGTATAAATTACATCAGTGATTATGAGAGGCAGGGGTTTGGAGGATATTGACTTCAAAGTGGCATGAGGAACATTCTGAGATGATGGAAATATTCCATACCTTCTATTGCTGTGATGGTTACATAAATTTTATGGTATACTTTCAGCAAAACTCATGGAAATATAATTCATCTATATAATTTTATATTATATAATTTATACCTTATGAAAGTAGATTTTAAAAGTAAAAAATAACCCTTTATAATATGTAAAATTAAATGTTTTTAGAAATACAAGGGTCTAATTCACAGAGACAAAAATAACACTTGGAAACTTTACTGCCCTCTCTTAGTCTTTGCAAGATCAACTACCCAGGCAAAAATAATATATAAGAATAATGTTATTAATCTTTTAATTATATATGCATAGATATATACATAGATAGATACTGATATAAAAGTTTTTAGCTCAGGGAAAGTACTTTATTTTCTGTTATTTTTATACATTTGTGAGAACGGACCATATAATATGCCTCAAAGAAAATTTATCTAAATTTCCCAAGCAAAAAATTGTAGAGATCACTTTATCAAACCTCAGTGCAAAAAACCTGGAACTAAATAACTGAAATGTAATTTTAAAATATATTTTAAATTTGAAATTTCTCTACTAAATAACTTTTGAGTTAAGAGTAGATAGCAAAAGAAAAATTAAAGATGATTTTAAAAATGACAACTTTACTTCTCAAAACATGATGCTTATTTTCCTCTGAGTTCATGTTAAAGATGAACTCAGAGGAAAATAAGTCAGAAGTTCATAGAGTTTTATAATTTACTTATTAACTCAACATATTTATTGAAGGGCTACCATGTTCTAGAAATTTTTCTGTGCTCCAGGGATATAGGTAAACATCCATATAACTTCCTTCATAGAGTTACATGCTAGTGGAAGTACATAGACCAAAAAACCCCACTAAATATGTAACATTTTAGATGGTAATATGTTCCATGTGGATAAAATAATGGTAAGTTCTATATGGATAAAATAAAGCTGAATAAGGTGGGTAGACAGTGATCAGAGCCATTTCATATATAAGCATACAGGAAAGCCTTTTCTGAGACGGTGATGTTTCAGCAGAGTTCTGAAAGAAAGGGAGCGAGTCGGTCACGCAAACATTGAGGGAATAGCATGCTAGGCAGAGAAAATAGTAACTGCAAAGACCCAGAGGAAGATGGGAGTGGAGCAAGCAATGGGTCAGTTGTCAGGAGATCTGAGAAATATATAGGGTCAGGTCATGTGGTACCTGTTAGACTACCAGGTACAGGTACACTACATCCAGAATGAAAAAGAAGATATAACCTCAAATATGAAAATTTTAAATTATAATGAAAAAGTGCGATTTGCTAATGCATGTAAAAATTTTAAAATTAAAGTTCCACAGAAATGTATATAAATCAAGAATATACAGAATAAAATAAAAAAGTAGAGTTGAATAATCTTGAAAAAATTGAAAACCTTGCAAGGAACTATGTTATAAAAAGAACTCTGTGAGAAACTTTTGCAGGTGAATTACATCCAGCTTAAGGCAGAGATAGTTTTCACACTATTTGCACTGATTTAAAACAGAGAAATTTCAAGTTTGCCAACTCATTTGATACCATTGGCATAGCCCCAATTCTAGACTTAACAAAGGTAGTACAAAATCCTAAATAAATCACAAGCAAATTGAATTTGGAAATAAATTTTAATACATATTCTCTGACCAAGTGGAGTTTATTAAGAAGCCACTGCAATGCCCCAAGTGTTTACTCTGTGAGATGGGGACTGAATGGAGTATTCTGTCCTTAAGGGAGACATGGTCTGACCTGCTTTATGTACTACTGTGATGAGTAAAGAATGAATGGGAGCAAGGGTCATAATTCTATGCGTTTCTGAGGAAATAACTAGAATCAGTAGGTAGTAGATGACTTTTCTAATTAAAAAACCCCTCTTAACTGACTGCCCACCAGTGAAACTTGCTGCTGAGTCATCTTGGAAGTTACAGTCAGCACTTTCTCACCAGCATTTCCAGCAAATGCCAGGGATGTTGACGCTGGGAAATTTCTGTATCTAATAAGCCTTTAGACCCTATGACATCCCAGATTCCTTCCAATACCGACCATCTCCGATTCTACAGCATGTATCGCCTCAATCTCCCCCCCAGTTAGAATATAAGCTCCATGAATGCAGGGGGTTTTGTCTGTTCTGTTCATTGCTCTAGTCCTGGAGCTCAAATAGGGTCAAGCATATAGCAGATACTCAATGATTATTTGTTAAATACAGGAATGTCTCTGTTAAACTTATTGCAGGACCTGAGCAATGCACTTTTCTTCTCTGCACAACAGAGAGTAAAAAGTTGGATTAGATGGCATCTGATTATCTTTCCAGGTCTGCCAGTGTGTGATTCCCTTTCAAACTGTGAGCCATTGTTCTAAAGGGCTTTTCAGGCTATGGGGTGTATGAAGGGGTGCTGTTGGGAGGAAAGGCAGGGATGGGTAAGGGCAAACCTGAGTCAAGGAGAAGAGAACAGATAATTTCTGGGGCTGGGGACCAGGGCACTCTTTGAAAATAAATGTGAATGTCTTTGAGATGCACAGGGTTCTAATTCCAGTAAAGGTGTTTCACTAGACACTGAGGATACAGGATACTGAGGACCCACCCCAAACATGGTATCATTGCCTCATTTGAGCCCTCCTGTTCAACAAAGTGTCACAGGTCCCTGAGGTTCTCATGGGAAAAACAACATAAATAACAGCAGGGACTCCTTTTAACTGTATTGAAAATACATTTGTTATCTTGATGAAGTGCACAAATGAGAACATTTCTTTAAAGAGAGAGTTCCATTGAGGCTCAGCATTACTAGGCATCCCCAGGCACCCACAAGGCAGCTATTTCATGTGCCCCTGAGGTTTAGCAGAGCAGCCAACACGTTGGCTGACAGGGCCCAGATTTGCTACCAGATAAGCCAGTGAGACATGCATCATATTTATAGAATACAGAATCACCTATAAAAAAGATGCACATTGGGTAATTACAATGATTTTATTCTGCATTTATCTTTAGTTTATTTCAAGCAAAAAGGAGTGTTTTCAATATCAAGAGGCATGCATATATGTGTGTCTTCCATGCTATTTCTTTTCAATAAGTTGCTTTCATTGCAAATTAAAAGAAATGGAGTTCAGCTCCTTGGTGACCTAGGAGAAAAAAAAAGTAAGAACTAGAATATTATTACTTATTAACAGCGAGGCTCTTGTCATGTATTATCTCAATTACTTTTTATATTAATGATACAGGTAGGTACTTATTGTTGCTTTCAAGTTATATGGGGAAACAGGCTCAGAGAGGGTCAGGTCTGTGGTCATATAGTTAGTAGAGGACAAACACAGTATTTGAACCCAAGTCTATGCTCTGAATCCAGATGTACATGACATTGTAGGGAATACTCCCAAAGGGTAGGGTCTTTGCCTTTCAAACTAAAAAACTAGAATAATCACAATTATAACTGTAGGGAACTGTGTTTTAAATGAATAGGATCTATATTTCCTGGCAGATGATCTCAGAGTCACTTGGAGGCACTGAAAAAAAGCAGAAATGAACCCAAATTCTAGGTGTTCTAGCTATTGGGACTCTGTTCTTTCTCCAGACACTGTGGTTGGCACCTTCACTGTGGATTTTTTTACAATACAGGACCAGGGAGGGTCAGACTGTGGCCTGCACTCCTGCAATACCCAGCCATCTGCCCTGCCGTCTGAGGTACTAGGGCGGTTGTCTTCTTCCTGGAGTCATTTCACTGCTCAGGCCTGAAGGTCGCTGCGGTGCCAGCCAAAGGCTTTGGAGCCCACGTTGGTGGGCGTGAAGTTGTTCTTAACCACACTCTCAGACCTGCTCAGCCAGCCCGCCATCTTATGGGTCACACAGGTCGCAGTGTTACAGGATCTCTTCTGGGCAGTGATGCTGATTTGCAGGATAGAGAAAAAGAAAAGGCCTGTCAGTGAGAGGCTGAGGGCAGGTGCTACCCCATGGGACCAACATGGTAAAATTACTGCTCCGAGAGGCACCAATGAACTTTAAATATTTTTCCTAAACACGAAATCACCACAGACAATCATAGGGCCACAGTCACTCCCCATAGACGTTTCCAAGGGTGTCAGAAAACCCAAACGTGCTCTGGGCAACAAGCCATGGAACACAGAACAATAGCAGCCAGTCTTTTCTGTACAAGTAAACGAAAGCTTAACCAAGACTTAGGTGACTAGAGAGATTATGGTGCCATATCCAACCTCATTCTTAAAGATTGTCTAGAAGATGCATCCCATTCACAAGGTACTGAGTACTTCTTAGGAAAAGGAAAATTCCCCTGTCCTCCTGGAAGAGGAAGCGAGTTTGCAGCATCAAGTCTCAGAGGTGCTTAGTGCTCCTGTTTTCACTACCTGAGGTTGTTCACAGGGACCACCCACTATGCCCTGACTCCAGCTACCCGGGGCTAAAGCTACTTGCCAGACAGGTCCCTGTATCCATGAAGTGTGAGATGTGGCCAGAGCAATAACCACCACAGCTCAGGGGTTTTTAGAAATATACTATTATTCCCCCAATGAAAGGCATGTTCAGAAGCAGGACTGAGAAGCTCTGCTATGAAATCCGCAGGTACTTACAGGGCTGCCCTCTCTCTCCTGATCTCTTCCTGAATGATTCTCTCTGGCCTGCTCTCCCTCCTCCCATCTGATGTTCCAGACATCCACTGCCACAAAGAATGCCACTGATACTAGCCCAAAGAGCAACCAGAGAAGACCACATGCGTCAAGTTACAGGAACAAAGGAATTAGAAAGGAGAGGAAGAGGTTGAGTAGGCCCCTTGAGGCATGCCAACATGAGGGGTCATGGTCTTTCTCCAATACTCTGGCCATGACCCATTTCTTGCCAGGCATTCTGACCCCAGTTTTAGTTAAGGGGAATGTGTAAAACTTGTTGAGGTCCTATGTGTATGTGCCCAGGACACAGGTGCTCAGATTATTGCACTGCTTAGTTCTGGACCTGTCCAGGCTACAGGGAAAAGTCAGGCTAGACAATACCATGCACCAGGGCTGCCCCTGCAGGCAGTCATGCAGAAGGTTAGAATAGGGAGAGGGCACCTGGAACAAAAGCAGAGGGGCAGGAATGGGGGCAGCTCACGCATCCTCCATTAGGAGAACACAGAGGTTCACTGAGCCAGGGCAGTGTGGGGAAGGGCTGCGGGGGGAAGGGGTGACCTTTTCTGGCATTCCACATGCTGCTCAGTCCTTCTTGCTCTGCAGAGAGGTTCTTAGGGCAGATACAGGTGCAGCACATACCTCTGCCCAGGTACGGCCAGGTCAGGAGCTGGTGTGAGCTCCAAGCTCAGGGTGCACAAGGAGGTGAGGCTGGGGAAGGGTGTCTGGTCCAGTGAGAACATGCACATCTCCACAGATTCTACACATCTAAAGGCCCTGGACCTACCTCAGACACTGTGCTACCTGACAACATCCTTTGTAAGGGCTCTGGCTTCACCTTGCAAATGTGCAATGAAGATGCCTTGCAGGTGTGAAAGAATATCATGTGCAGGTTAACAAGGAGGGGCTAGATTTATAGAATCCCCTGAGATACATGGGATTCATTCCCTGGCTTTACGAGGCTAAACTCCTCCAGTGCTGGGAAGTATCCTCAGTACTGCCAGACAATTTCCGGAGTGAGGAGTTCCACAGCTTCCCCCACTGCTTTTAGAAAGGGATCTTTGTACATGTGGTGCAACCATAGTTCCTTCACATGACCTCTGTCTTCAGTGGAGCCTGTAGAAGAGGTGGGCCCCAGGCCAAGGTGAACAGTGACTGCTTGCTGGCTGCCTATCCAGCTATGTTCTCTCCTACCTGTCAGGATACATCTTCCTGGTAAGCCAGGGGAGAGGAGGGTAAGTGCTGAGCAGAGGGCAGAGCCTTAACCTGAAGCCCTCCTGTCTCTTGCTTCAGCTCACAGGCCTTCATCTGCACATAATCGTTCATCATTGCAGCCAGTAGGAGGCGCATTTCCTTATTGGTGAGTGTAGCGGGATCAAAGCCATTCTCCAAGGCCCACCTAGGGAAGGGGAGCAAGCACAATCCTGGCTCTGAGTCCCTGCCTACCCCCACCCCCAGGATTAGCAGCCAGGTTTCCTGGTTTCTGTATCTTCCCCTGAGGATGTGGCTGCCCCAACTGCCAACGGAAGAAATGAGGCCATTGTCTATCTCAAAATGCTGCTTCACCAGGAGTTAGGCTCTGGTGTGACCTCAAAGAAATGGTTTGCTGGCAACTGATGGTTAGATTTTCAGGAATTTTTTGACCTTAGTGTTTTAAATGCAGCCATTATTAAAAATTAAATGATAATGATAATTTGAATCTGCAAATGGTTTCAGTTTAATAAATATAATTTGAATGAGGATGAGAAATTAGATGAATAGATCACATATCAGATTTAATAACAAATTTATTGGCCAAGTAATTAGCAGACTAGGATGAAATCCATTTCTCAAATTATGGTTAAGTTAGTAAATAGCTTTGCTAAAGATAAAAGTGTTTGATAAAAAGCAACAAAAGTATATTGTGAGGTTCAATGAGTTATATGAAATTTATAATAACTAGTACTGTATATGTTATGTCTATTTGTAAACTGTGTGCTACACATCTTTTTATGATAAACTTATATATAAGTGTACATTTGTACATTACCACCACCCATCCCCCCACCTCCACCCACCAGGAGCCAGTTGCTAAAGGTTCAGCACAAGCACAACTGAGAACACAGAACTGTATGATTCCAGAGGCCATAGGAGGTGAGAGTGCTCCTGGCAGGGCTGTCTCACCTGAATGGCGCTGCCTGGAGCATACCTGCCTGGTTCAGGACTAGAATGCTGAGGACCAGGAACGGGGGGAACTTCCAGAAGCCCATGGCACCTTTCTGCAAGGGGAAAATGACATCACCACCTGCAGCAGTTCAAGTTCTGTGAGCCCACAGACCCAGGCTCTGATTCTGTCTCTGACTCTAACTCCCTGGCATCCTGACTTCAGGTTGGACATGTCACTTCCCTTCACCATCATTTCCTTCTCAGCCAAGTGGACTGCTGTAAGATCCAGTAAGCCTGTAGCATGCTTGGCTTAGCAAAGAAACCTGGTGGGACAACTGGGTGAGGAGGTCTCAGTCCGTAGCCCCCTCCCTGTCAGTCACTCCACACATTTTCACATACAACCTGTTGGCCAGGACTCCTGGAGGACAGACTCCAAGTACCTGTCACCACAGCTTTTCCCACTGTGCAACCCAGAGCTGTCCTGGTGTGGGGCTTTTGCTCATACCTGGTTGGGGGAGGTGGGTAGGGAGGACATATCTCTGTGGTTGGAATCCCTGAGAAACTGAAGAACCAAATTCTACTGCTCAGCTGCTTCAAAGAGTACCTTTGGCAAAGAGTACCCTGTGAGAAGCAAGCTGGCAGAGTCTTAATTTGGAACCCAGGACTTAAATGGGGGAAAAAAGCTCCCAGAACCTGCCACTGGGGCTTGCGTTTGACGGTTACCTGCCCCTCAGTCACTGCACCTGTTTGCCATCCGCTTGTGCTGGCCCAGGTTCTGAACCCATTTCCCACGGACCATTAGGCGAGGGATGTGATCCATGAGCACACTGTCCGCACAAAGCCATTCCTGCGTCCTGCTCTATGGGTGGTGCCTGGGGAGCTCCAGCATCCCGAAATTGACCTAAGCACGTGTGCCGCAGGAGACAGAGAGACTGGAGCCCGCCTCAGTGAGGGGAGAGTGGAGCAGAGTCCCCGGACTGAAACCATGCGGTGTTACCTGTGGAAGGATCCTGGGATGAATCGCGGAGTAACACAAATTGTGTGATGAAAAGACCTAGACAGAAGTGGACAGAGACCCTGAATCATGAAATGTCTAGAGTAACCCTCTGGCATTTATTTTACTTCTCTACAGTCCTACTAGGTGTGGGGTAATGTTGGAACATAGGTGGTCATTAGATCATGTATAGCTTATATTAGGAAAGTCATTCTACTGATTTGGCCTCTTTATAAGTCTAGAAAGTAGTAAATAAAGTAAAATAGCTGTGAGGCACCTTCCAGTCTTATTCTTTTATTTTATTAAAATGGGGGTGGGAGGGGTGAAGGAGGTGGGTATAGAAGAAAAAAGAACAACTGAAGGACATTGTGTGATGGCAATGAGATTTACTTGGAGGTTAGTTGGGAGACATTGATAATGCTTATTGTATTTTAATTTTGAGAGGAACGCCAGCCTGAGCTGCTGGTAAGTGCTTCTGGAAGAAGCAGTCTTCAAGGAAGCCACCTTTCAGTCAAATATAAAATGGGGCTGGTACCTTGTTTTCTTCCTGTGTTTTACAGCTCACGCCCTCATGAGGAATTTTATTCCCTCACACTGTTTCATCCATTCTCTTCAGTAAGCATGCTTATCCACATCTATGATGGTCCCTGGTCAGTTTTAGAAGCACACAGAAGCTACTCTAGATATTTTAAGCAGAAAGGCATTTCATACAGGGACTAGATGTTAAAAAATAATGTGTATAGTTCCGGAAGATGCTACATTTACCATAACCAAAAGGTGGAGACTGAGAAGTCCACACACTTGAACTGTAGACATGAAAAAAGCCCCATGGAGCCTGTGATTCAGGGATCAGGACGCTGCCCTGGTGCTGCCACAACTACCTTTCAACACCACTGACATCCTGGACCCAGGGATGCTGCTGTCGAACCCCTGGCTTCTTGACTGCTTGCCAACAGAAAACAGAAGAGCAGGAAGATAGAACTCTGACTCTGCCTTCCAATTCTCACATGAGATATCTAATTGGAAAAAAATTGCATTCAGACACTGCCTTTAAGGAAGTGTGGGAAAAATCAATGTAATCTATCACACTAACAGACTAAAAATGAAAAATCACATGATAGTATTAATAGATGCAGAAAAGGCATTTGACAAAATCCAACACCCATTTATGATAAAAACTCAGAAAACTAGCAATAGAGGGGAACTTCCTCAACTTGATAAAGACTACAAAAACCCTGCAGTAGCTTTATACTTAATGGTGAGAGACTCGAAGCTTTCCCACTAAGAGCAGGTACAACAATGCCCTGTTTTACTACTCCTTTTCAGAGTCATACTGGAAGTCCTTGCTAGTGTAAAAAGGAGATAAAAGGTATACAGGTTGGAAAGAAAGACAAAACAAAAAAACACCCAAAAGAAACAAAAAAAATCTCCTCCTGGAGCTAATAAGTGATTATAGCAAGGTTGCAAAATACAAAGTTAACATACAGAAGTCAATGTTTTTCCTATATACCAACAATGGACAAGTGGGATTTGAAATTAAAAACATAATACTGGTTACATTAGCACCACCCAAAATGAAATAGGTATAAAGCTAACAGAATATGTACAAGATCTGTATAAGGAGAACTACAAAACTAATAAAAGAAATCAAATAATAGCTAATAAATGGAGAAATATTCCATGTTCATTGAGAGGAAGACTCAATATTGTCAAGATGTCAGCTCTTCCCAACTTAGTTGATCTACAGATTCAATGCAGTCCCAATTAAATCCCAGCAAGTTATTTTATGAAAGTTGACAAACTGATTCTACAGTTTATTTATTTTTGGCTGTGCCATGTGGCATGCGGGATCTTAGTTCTCCGACCAGGGATCAAACCCATGCCCCCAGCAGTGGAAGTACAGTCTTAACCACTGGAACAGTAGGGAAGTCTCTGATTCTACAGTTTATTAGGAGAAGCAAAAGAACCAGAATAGTCAACGCAATCTTGAAGGAGAAGTACAAAGTTGGAGGATTGATGCTGCTTGACTTTAAAACTTACTATAAAGCTACAGTAATCAAGACAGTGTGGTATTGGTGAAAGAATAGACAAATAGATCAATGGAACAGAATAGAGAGCTTGGAAATAGACCCCCCATAATATAATCATCTGATCTTTGACAAAGTAACAAAGACAATGCAAAAGAAGTATGGGTGGTGTTTTTGTTTTCCAGTTGACTGGGAGAGTTGGAAGAAACCATTTTCATTATAATAGCCAAGTGCTGTGAATATTCTCAGCCTGTCACAGTTAAGGCTTAAACCAAAGGAGTGGATCTCTAATAATGGAACTTCATCTATCAGTGAGAGAAAGTATTTTTTCTCTTAGTGCTGGAAGGGCTTTTCAGATCTTAACACGTAAATGATCCTTTACCAACTTTACCTTTGGCCTTCTGGTACCTTACGGTTATGACTATCCAGTAGAGAACAAAACCCTCACTTTTCTATTTATCACTACTCAGGAATGTGTTATGTTCTCATATGTAATTTTGTAATTGAGATGATCAACTAGGTTGTCCCACCTCAGGCTCTTACTATCCTCCATTGTGGTGAAACACAACTCTGAGTGCACATAATGGAATGTGCAAAGGAGGCACATCTGTGCTGGTTGTACAGTCTGCACTGCAGGAGCTCTGTGGGGGCAAGCACCAAGTCCCAGGCCAGAGCCACAGCCATCCAAGAACTGGCAAGGAGCCCAGGAGACACTCTCACCTGATGCTGCTCCTCAGGATGAGTCTTGGAGGGACGGTTTTCAAAGGGCAAGAAAGAGGCTCTCACTGCTGCACTCTTCTCTACTGTAAGTGTTACCATTCTGCACACAGAAATGTCAGAGCCCTAGACAGGGTATTCACATTTCTCCAGACACCCATCCCACCCTGCATCCTGAAGATGGGATCCTTGCCATGAAACAGTGAAGTCTTTCACTTCATCTTTCACAAAACATCCTCGTTGTGATCAAATCCATAGACAAACATTATCAACTGTTTTCTGTCACTCTAAGAGCAAATGTAGGGGGCTGTTTCTATTTTCTGAGCACTGAGAGAACATAATATATGATTACAAGGAAAGCTTTATGTTCTGAGAGACTTTTAGTGATTCTTGAGACCACCCCTCCTTACTATCCCCCAAGGGGAGGTGAGGATGGGGGAGGAGGCATCTCATCAGTGCTGTTAGACTGCTTGAGCCATGGATCAAGTTCCCCTTTGCTAATGTAGCCAAGGGAAGAATGCCAAAGAAGGAATGCTCCTTAATTTAAGTGAACTGGAGGTATTTACAGAATGGAAATCAATCTGTTTTGAAATTTAAAAAATGATCTGACCAAGGATCCTCTCCTGATCGATATTATGGTTAGATTAGAGTTTACTGATATGGATTTCAGGCAAGGATGACCTCAGGATCATCCTTTTTGGATCTTCTCCCGCCTCCTTCTTCACGTAAGGTCCAATCTGAATGGTGTTCTCATAGGAACTTTCTAATGGCCTGACCCTAGGCTGTTACTTATTTTGACAACATCCTGACCAAAGGCCTTATCTTGGAACATCAGGCAGCTTGAGGGGCAGTGAAGAAATCCTGATTTGGGACTATTATATAGACCTTTGTTATATAAACCTTTGTAATTGTTGCCAAAACAATTGTAAAACATGGCTTATGTTAATCAATGAATCTTATTGAAACCGTGGTCTAGAATTCCAGGAAAAATTGACATCTAGAGGTCAAAAAATTAAAGACAAAGATACACTTATGTCTTTGTTCAGGCTGCTGTAACAGACTACCATGGACTGGGTGGCTTTTAAACAACAAAAATTTATTTCTTACCATTTTGGAGGCTGGGAAGTCCAAGATTAAGGTACTGGCAGATTTGGTGTCTGGTGAGAGCCCACTTGCTGGTTCATACATAGATGGCTGTCTTCTCGCATGGCAGAGGGGCAAAGGAGCTCTCTAAGGTCTCTTTTATAAGGGCACTAATCCCATTCATGAGAGCTCCACCCTCAAGAGCTAATCACCTTCCAAAGGCTCTACCGCAAAACCAGTTGGGTGACCTTGGCTTATGCTTAGTGTCCCAGTGGGGCTATTA